AAAGTAGAGACACTACATACTGATATACACCTGAACATCAGCAGGAGAGGACTCTTTAAAGTAGAGACACTACATACTGATATACACCTGAACATCAGCAGGAGAGGACTCTTTAAAGTAGAGACACTACATACTGATATACACCAGAACATCAGCAGGAGAGGACTCTTTAAAGTAGAGACACTACATACTGATATACACCTGAACATCAGCAGGAGAGGACTCTTTAAAGTAGAGACACTACATACTGATATACACCAGAACATCAGCAGGAGAGGACTCTTTAAAGTAGAGACACTACATACTGATATACACCTGAACATCAGCAGGAGAGGACTCTTTAAAGTAGAGACACTACATACTGATATACACCTGAACCTCAGCAGGAGAGGACTCTTTAAAGTAGAGACACTACATACTGATATACACCTGAACATCAGCAGGAGAGCACTCTTTAAAGTAGAGACACTACATACTGAAATACACCTGAACATCAGCAGGAGAGGACTCTTTAAAGTAGAGACACTACATACTGATATACACCTGAACACCAGCAGGAGAGGACTCTTTAAAGTAGAGACACTACATACTGATATACACCTGAACATCAGCAGGAGAGGACTCTTTAAAGTAGAGACACTACATACTGATATACACCTGAACATCAGCAGGAGAGGACTCTTTAAAGTAGAGACACTACATACTGATATACACCTGAACATGAGCAGGAGAGGACTCTTTAAAGTAGAGACACTACATACTGATATACACCTGAACATCAGCAGGAGAGAACTCTTTAAAGTAGAGACACTACATACTGATATACACCTGAACATCAGCAGGAGAGGACTCTTTAAAGTAGAGACACTACATACTGATATACACCTGAACATCAGCAGGAGAGGACTCTTTAAAGTAGAGACACTACATACTGATATACACCTGAACATCAGCAGGAGAGGACTCTTTAAAGTAGAGACACTACATACTGATATACACCTGAACATGAGCAGGAGAGGACTCTTTAAAGTAGAGACACTACATACCTATATACACCTGAACATCAGCAGGAGAGGACTCTTTAAAGTAGAGACACTACATACTGATATACACCTGAACATCAGCAGGAGAGGACTCTTTAAAGTAGAGACACTACATACTGATATACACCTGAACATCAGCAGGAGAGGACTCTTTAAAGTAGAGACACTACATACTGATATACACCTGAACATCAGCAGGAGAGGACTCTTTAAAGTAGAGACACTACATACTGATATACACCTGAACATCAGCAGGAGAGGACTCTTTAAAGTAGAGACACTACATACTGATATACACCTGAACATCAGCAGGAGAGGACTCTTTAAAGTAGAGACACTACATACTGATATACACCTGAACATCAGCAGGAGAGGACTCTTTAAACATCATAGCTAAGGGTTAAAGATGGATAGGACGTGAGCAGCATTAAACTGTGTAATTCTTTAAACCGGAACAAAAGGTTGTACTAATTTATAAAACCTCATTATTTATGAATGAAACCTAACGTACAGAAACAGAGGGTCCCAGCTTCCGGACAGACGGTTTTTAAAGAGTCCTCTTTGAGGTTAAACTGTTTTAAATCTATTTTAGATATTCAGGATATATTAATATAGCAGCAGTTTAAAGCTGCGCCGATGAACGCCTGCAGTGTTTCAGTGTTTTCTCTCAGCTCCGACCCCGACATGTTTCCTGTTCACTGGACGCTCCAAAACACAGGAGACCTTCCCAGCATGCATTTCACCAGGCGAGGGGGGGGGGGGGGGGGGTTCACCTCCTCTGTTTTAAAGGCTTTACAGAGAATATCTGCACAAACCGAGACCAGCTGTTTTTATATCTCTGATGTTCCTAAATCATTCTGAAAGATACCGTTATATTTCTAGATGAGAAGGCTTCATCATCAGCTGCTCAAACAATGCAGTATCATATCAGGTTCAACACTTTCAACAAACACAACTAGAGTGCAGATTAAGTTGCTTTTATGATGCAAGTAAATAAACAGAATAAATGAGAGTCGTTGAAAGTCTTTAAAGACTTGTTTTTATAAATAATGTACTTTAATGATTCTGAAAATACATCTTATACATCTGTCCAAGAGGTAATCAATTATCAATAATCAATTAATTAATCATTTCATCTCAGTTTGCTGAAAACATGGTGCGATGCTTTGTCTTCAAAATAAATTCAAAGCATCCGAAAAGAGAGGAGGGGGAGGAAGAGGAGGGGGAGCAGGGGGAGGGGGAGGAAGAGGAGGGGGAGCAGGGGGAGGGGGAGGAAGAGGGGGAGGAGAGCGTATGATTCCTCTTTGGGACGGGGGGAGGAAACTGAGGAGGAGGGGAGGAGGAGGGGAGGAGGGGAGGAGGGGAGGAGGAGGGGAGGAGGGGAGGAGGGGAGGGAGGGGAGGAGGAGGGGAGGAACTGAGGATTATTCCTGTTCTGAGAGCTGCTGTGTGTAGAGCACCTGAGCTGCTGTGTGTAGAGCACCTGAGCTGCTGTGTGTAGAGCACCTGAGCTGCTGTGTGTAGAGCACCTGAGCTGCTGTGTGTAGAGCACCTGAGCTGCTATGTGTAGAGCACCTGAGCTGCTGTGTGTAGAGCACCTGAGCTGCTATGTGTAGAGCACCTGAGCTGCTATGTGTAGAGCACCTGAGCTGCTGTGTGTAGAGCACCTGAGCTGCTGTGTGTAGAGCACCTGAGCTGCTGTGTGTAGAGCACCTGAGCTGCTGTGTGTAGAGCACCTGAGCTGCTATGTGTAGAGCACCTGAGCTGCTATGTGTAGAGCACCTGAGCTGCTGTGTGTAGAGCACCTGAGCTGCTGTGTGTAGAGCACCTGAGCTGCTGTGTGTAGAGCACCTGAGCTGCTGTGTGTAGAGCACCTGAGCTGCTATGTGTAGAGCACCTGAGTTGCTGTGCTCACCCTAACCCTCACCTTCTCTCAACGTGTTAACATGAACCTCAGAAACACATCACTGTCAGACAAAGAGACTCCTCGTTATTAAACCCTAACATGACCGTTGTCCTGCTGAAGACAGCAGACTCAGGAACTCATGTTATTTTTGATATTTCTATCGACTGTTAATACATTTGTATATTTGAGTGAGACGTTAGTGACTGTAGAATCTGATGAATATTCAACATTCACTCAAATAAGTGAATAAGCTAAAGATGATTTAAAAAACGTAATAATGATCCTGTAGCGGAATATGAGGCGACGCCTCTTTAGTGAATCTGAATCTGTTAACCCTTCATCACAGAGACACTCTTTCTAACAGCTGTTTCCTCAGAGCCGGATTCCAGCTAACTTCCATCTTACTGCCAGCCAAATTCCAGCTAACTTCCATCTTACTGCCAGCCGAATTCCAGCTAACTTCCATCTTACTGCCAGCCGAATTCCAGCTAACTTCCATCTTACTGCCAGCCGAATTCCAGCTAACTTCCATCTTACTGCCAGCCGTATCCAGCTAACTGCCATCTAGCTGCCAGTCGTATCCAGCTAACTTCCATCTTACTGCCAGCCGTATCCAGCTAACTTCCATCTAGCTGCCAGCCGTATCCATCTAACTTCCATCTTACTGCCAGCCGAATTCCAGCTAACTTCCATCTTACTGCCAGCCGAATTCCAGCTAACTTCCATCTTACTGCCAGCCGTATCCAGCTAACTGCCATCTAGCTGCCAGTCGTATCCAGCTAACTTCCATCTTACTGCCAGCCGTATCCAGCTAACTGCCATCTAGCTGCCAGCCGAATTCCAGCTAACTTCCATCTTACTGCCAGCCGTACCCAGCTAACTTCCATCTTACTGCCAGCCGAATTCCAGCTAACTTCCATCTTACTGCCAGCCGAATTCCAGCTAACTTCCATCTTACTGCCAGCCGTACCCAGCTAACTGCCATCTAGCTGCCAGTCGTATCCAGCTAACTTCCATCTTACTGCCAGCCGTACCCAGCTAACTGCCATCTAGCTGCCAGTCGTATCCAGCTAACTTCCATCTTACTGCCAGCCGTATCCAGCTAACTTCCATCTAGCTGCCAGTCGTATCCAGCTAACTTCCATCTTACTGCCAGCCGTATCCAGCTAACTGCCAGCCGTATCCAGCTAACTTCCATCTAGCTGCCAGTCGTATCCAGCTAACTTCCATCTTACTGCCAGCCGTATCCAGCTAACTTCCATCTTACTGCCAGCCGTATCCAGCTAACTGCCAGTCGTATCCAGCTAACTTCTATCTTACTGCCAGCCGTATTCCAGCTGACTTCCATCTTACTATCAGTTGTATTCCAGCTAACTTCCATCTTACTGCCAGCCGCATTCCAGCTAACTTCCAGCTGGATTCCAGCTAACTTCCATCTTACTGCCAGTCGTATGCCAGCTAACTGCCAGCTACATTCCAGCTAACAGCTAACTGACTGCCAGCCGTATGCCAGCTGACTTTAAGTTAGTAGTATTTCCATTTCACTCCAATCCCCACAGGAGCAATTTGGGGTGAAATGTCTCAGGGACAGAACAACATGCTGACTGCAGTGGGGTTTGAACCTGTGACACCCTGATCCCAACACGAAGGCTCTATCCACTGCGCCACACGCCACAGCAGTTTATCTAATATTGATGGTTCCTATCCTTTAAAAAACTCCATTTCCCATGAGCCACCAGGCCACAGATTAATGTCAGAGCTCTTCAGGAAGATGATATACAGTTTAATAAATAAATATAAATATATGTTCTATATACAGAGACTGGCTCACTGTGAGGATGACAGTATCACACACACTCTGACATGTTGTTTACACACACACCAGAGAAATATGTTGCTATTAAAATAATGTGTGTGAGAGAGCATGAAATACATTCAGCAGATATGAACACACACTGCATGATAACACAGAGAGTGCGTGTGTGAGTGTGAGTGTGTGTGTGTGTGTGTGTGTGTGTGTGTGTGTGTGTGTGTGTGTGTGTGTGTGTGTACCTGTCGATGATGACGGGGTCTGACGGCGTCTCGTTTCTGTTCCCGCAGCTCTTCTTATCGCAGCAGCGACTGACACACACACAGAACAATAACAAACTTTATTCTCCTGATCAAACACACATAGGGCTTTTATTTTGAAAGGATCATCGTAAACACAACGATAAAGTTAGGCGGTAATGCTCAGTATGTAACGAGGGTCAGAGGTCAGACTCACCTGCACATGATCTCATGAGTCAGCAGAACCCGACACATCTCCGGGTTCTTGTCCTGACCTTCGTATATGATGGCCTAAAACACACACACACACACACACACACACACACACACAAACACACACACACCTGATCAGCCGTTATTGTGAAAAGCCTCTCCTGTGGTATGAAGGGTATCAGAAGGAGAGTCTAACAGGAAGAGCACGCTCTTATTGTGAAAAGCTTCTCTCTCAGAGTCTCACCTGTTTGGTCATGGAGTCGATCAGCCGGACGTACAGGTCCTGCTCCGTCCTCACACCTGAACAACACATTCATATCAGGTTACTTTATATTTCACAGTATGACACCACAGTGGGCCGTTTGGGTGAAACGAGTGCACCCACCGTTGCTGAAGAGCAGCTGCAGTTTGTAATGGATGCCGTTGTTGGTCTTCTCTCCGCCCGGCTCCTGAACACAACACAAGATAACACAAACTGAGGGTGCGTTTGATTTCAACACATGGTCAGTGTGAGTCTGATCCTCTACATTAAGACAATAACACAACATCAGTTAGCATGTTACATACGTGTGTGTGTTCTGTGCAGAAGGTGCGTTTGTTTTGTGGTTTCTGAGGTGCGTTTGATTCACCTTGTCCTTCTCCACGAAGTCGAGGTAGGACGTCCTCTCGATCTCCACCGGTTGCCCCTGGCGATCGTACAGCGCCAACACGAAGTGGAAGAAGTTGGATTTCCTCAGGTTGGACGGGGGCTGCTTCTCAAAGTGAGCGCGGGCTAACCCCACCCCGCTGAGACGGGTGGAGACAGGCGGGAGAGAGGTCAGTCATTTATACTTCTTTACTGTTCGTTATCATTTAAAGCATCTAGTTAAATAAAATGTGGACATTTAGATCAGAGAATATCAGAGTTAGACCAAAAGAATATAGAATAAAAAATAAAGAATACAGAATATAGAATAAATAATAAAGAATAAAGAATAAAGAATAAAGAATAAAGATGAATAAAGAAGATTAAAGTTTAAACCGGTAAATAAACTCTTTGTTAACGGAAGTGATTTGACTCAGGCATTAAACATGATATGATCGGCACATCAACATAAAACACAGTAAATAGACGTCATCGATCTGCTGTGAGACATTCAGCATCTATTCTCTAACATTACAGATAATCAGAACGTCTCTCTAAGGAACCAGGCGTGATGAGAAGAAGAACAGCATGATATCATATAATATAATATAATATAATATAATATAATATAATATAATATAATATACAGCATGATATAGATATAGTATAATATACAGTATGATATAGATATAATATAATATACAGCATGATATAGATATATTATAATATATATGATGATGTGAAGTAGAGACAGATAACCAGGACCTTAACGGCGCTCTCATATCATCGTCTGAAACATCTGAACCTTTTATATTTAATATCTTTAGTGTTTCAGGAAATCTCATTTTAATAAATTAGGAAAAAGAAAAGGTAAGAAATCAACATGAAGTTAAAACGAGTGAAATATTAAAATTTATGGAATCTGTTAATAATCACAGAGTTTTAAATCATCAGAGCTGATCAATAAATAAATATTGATTTCTGATATAAAACATTACATTTCTGATATTATTTATTAACAAACAAACAAACAAACAGGTTTCCTGATCTCTAGCGGCGGATAGAGACTCAGATTATAATCATTAATTATTAATGATTATAATCTGACGCAGTTTAAATGAAATGCTCCTAAACATTATAATTTATAAATAAAAACGCAGCTGAAACATGACGAGTAAATATTAATAAAGACTTTAAAACGCTGTCAAACTGCACAATCATTATATATATAGATCTATATATATATATATCTATGTATATAAAGAACAGAGTCTGCAGCTCGGAGCATCAGCTTGGATCAATATCAGAACAGATTTAAACGCTGGAAACGATCAGCAGATTCACCGTTTAATGTTAACCCTTAAATTATAATTAATAATTAAAAGAGCGCGTTCTCGGCGCCAACGCGCTTTATATTAATATATATATTAAATCTGTCAGAAACAAACTCACATTATAAAATATGATATATCTATCTATATCTATATATAGATAGATAGAGATCGATTTAGATAAGTTCATATTGAATTTAAACTGTTAAATATGTTATAATATAAAGGTTTTCCTCTGAGAGAAACAGATTTATAATAATTGAACTTCATAAATATGATTTATAAAAACATTAAATTCTTATAATTAATGTTTTTTATTTAACTCAGTATTTATGAACCAATCAGAAACCAGTTATTATAACTTATAGATTTTATTATTAATAATAATTCAGCGCGTTTTATATAAAAGAATAAAATCTGATTCAAACAGAGACTTCTGTTTAAAATTACTTTTCATTTTTAACCTTTTTATTTCAGGTTTAATTTAAAATAACTTTAACTTCTCATTTAAGCAGAATTTGACTTTTCTATAAATCTCTAAAATCAGCTTTAATATAACGTTATAATATTAATATATCTATCACATTTAATCTGCAGAGCTATTATAAATGTAACGTTTATAATAATATATCTTAGTATATATATTAATACCTCATGTCGTCGTGCGCTCGCTGCGTGACCTTCACTTTAAAACATTTATTATTTGCTGCAGTTTAAACTTTGATATCTTAAATACATTCTTCACTTTATTCTGTGTTTCTGACCTCTTCATTATCTCCTATTATATTTATAATGATGAAACTATCTTCAGCTCAGAAACACGAGGGATACAGAAACATCAGGAGACTAACCCTAACCCTTCAGAGCGATAAAGAAACTGAGAAAAGATTCAGATATATATTAAATATTAGAAATGAGATTTAAGTCCAAGATTATTTTGAACCCGCTCTCCGTTCTGCAGAGGAACTTAAATCATATAATAAATGTGATTTAAAGAACATCTTTATAAATCTGAGTTTTTAAAAACTATATTTAACAAATTCTCCAGAAACAGAAATAAAGAAACTGAGAAAAGATTCAGATAATCACATTTACATTTTAGAAATAAGAGCAAAATATTAGAAATAAGAGCTAAATATTAGAAATAAGAGCTAAATATTAGAAATAAGAGCTAAATATTAGAAATAAGTCTAAACTCTTTATTTTAAATCCGCTCTTTGTTCTGCAGAGGAACTTAAATAAGACCCTACATGTCATTTAAAGAACAGCTTTATAAATCTGAAAACTCTTTTTAAATACTGAATTTAATCAATTCTCCAGAAACAGAAATATATTTGTTGTCTCTGAAATAATTTCCCGTCTCCCTCCCGTCTCCCTCCCGTCTCTCTCCCGTCTCTCTCCCCCGTCTCCCTCCCGTCTCTCCCTCCCGTCTCCCTCCCGTCTCTCCCTCCCGTTTCTCTCCCGTCTCCCTCCCCCGTCTCCCTCCCGTCTCTCTCCCCCCCGGAGTCCCCGGACCCTGTGATCGGACGGACTCCATCTCCCAGAATCCCCGGGGGCAGTACCTCTGCGCGGCGGTGTTAGCGTCCAGCAGGCCGGAGGAGCTCATCCAGGAGCGCACGGACAGCGGCTCCTCCTTCAGGCCCGAGCCGCGGGGGGGCAGCGAGTCCTGGATCCCAAACATCTGCCCGAGACCAGGGAGAACGAGGAGAACGAGGAGAACGAGGAGAACGAGGAGAACGAGGAGAACGAGGAGAACGAGGAGAACGAGGAGAACAACTACAAGAGAAGAAGAAAAACTGCAGAAAAAAACTGGAAAAGAAGAAGAAAATGTGGAGGAAAAAACGCTTCAAAAAGACAAGAGAAGAAGAATTAAAAAACTACAGTAGAAGAAGTATTTAAAAACGACATAAGTAGAAGAAGAAGAAGCTGGATCGTGCGGAGAGGCGACCTTTTATTTCTCTACTTTTTTCTCCTCTTCAGATTTTATTCACTTTTTTCTCTGATTTTATGAATGTCTTTTTTTCCGTTAAAGTATTTTATAAAAAGTATTATTATTAAAAGTGGAGTTGAAGCGGAGCGACGGAGGAGGAGGAGAAATAAAATCCTCAAAGGACGCCGAGAGGAAACGGTATTTTTTCTTTTCTTTTCCCCAAAGAGAGAGGAGGAGAGACGGAGGCTGACGGAGGACTGACTCTCAGCCCCGGGCCCCACAGGACTAACAGTGAGGTGTGTGAGGAGAGAGAGGGTGTGTGAGGAGAGAGGAGAGAGAGGAGAGAGAGAGTGTGAGGAGAGAGGAGAGAGAGGAGAGAGAGGGTGTGTGAGGAGAGAGGAGAGAGAGGAGAGAGAGAGTGTGTGAGGAGAGAGGAGAGAGAGGAGAGAGAGAGGAGAGAGAGAGAGGAGAGAGAGTGTGTGAGGAGAGAGAGAGAGAGAGAGTGTGATGTGAGGAGAGAGGAGAGAGAGAGTGAGAGAGAGAGAGAGAAAGAGAGAGAGAGAGGACTGACTCTCAGCCCCGGGCCCCACAGGACTGGAGAACAGGACCATAACACCCCTGGGTCTTCTCCGCTGATGACATCACAGCAGGAGGCGGGGCCTGCCATACAAGGACTGGAGGAGAGAGTGTGTGTGTGAGGAGTGAGAGAGAGTGAGGAGAGAGAGGGAGGAGGGGGCGTTCCAGCCAACCGTAGAGAGAGAGTGCATGAATTCCCCCCCCTCGTTCAGGAACATTTCCTCTCAGAGTGAATGTGAGGAGGGTCCATGTTCATCTGTCCTCCAGACCTCCAGACCTCCAGACCTCCAGACCCCAGTTCCTCCAGACTTCCAGACCTCCAGACCTCCAGACCTCCAGACCTCAACACCCCAGGTCCTCCAGACCTCCAGATCCCCAGACCCCAGGTCCTCCAGACCCCACGTCCTCCAGATCCCCAGACCCCAGGTCCTCCAGACCTCCAGACCTCCAGACCCCAGGTCCTCCAGACTTCCAGACCTCCAGACCTCCAGACCTCCAGACCTCAACACCCCAGGTCCTCCAGACCTCCAGATCCCCAGACCCCAGGTCCTCCAGACCCCACGTCCTCCATACCTCCAGATCCCCAGACCCCAGGTCCTCCAGACCTCCAAACCTCCAGACCCCAGGTCCTCCAGACCTCCAAACCTCCAGACCCCAGGTCCTCCAGACCTCCAAACCTCCAAACCTCCAGACCTTAGGTCCTCCAGACCTCCATATCCCCAGACCCCAGGTCCTCCAGACCTCCAAACCTCCAAACCTCCAGACCCCAAGTCCTCCTCCCAGTACAGGTTCTGACTCCAGTGTGTTCTCCGGCCCCAGAGCGTCTCTATAGAACCGAGAGACATTCATCTGTCAGAGTGCGTTCAGCTTCAGGGATCGAGTCCGGTCCCAATGTGGTCCGATGTCCCCGTCTCCGATTCTGCTTCTTCTTGTCCCTCCATGTTGGTTTTCTAGAACATCACCACCTCGCTGTGTGTTCTCCAGACGTAGAGCGTCTCTATAGAACCGGTTCTCAGTCGGACAGAGTTCTCTCTCTGCTCTGGGTGAAGTCTGTCTCTCTTTGAGTCCAAAAACATTCAGGGGGTTAGGGTTGGGTAGAGTAATGTCCTCCAGACTCTATAGAACCGGTCTTTAGGTGGTCTTCTTCTTCTTGCTGGTTCCTGACTCTCAGCATGTGGTCTCTGTAACTCTCGGAGCTTCACAGGAACTCCTCGAGTGAAGGAGTGAACCCTGATTCTGGTCCTGAGTGGAGAGGATTCAACCAGAGGGGGGTGCTGGTTTCACACCAGATATGAAAGTTAATATATAACTATATATAGGTGTTTCTCTGCAGATCTTCCCCTCGTCGAGGAGACACAAGATAAACTGACGGGGTTCAGAGTAAGAGCTCTGCTGACTGCTGGAGGCCTCCGAGGCTCAGAGGGGAGGAACCAGTGTGGAGGGGGGGGGAGAGGGGGGGAGAGAGGGGGGGAGAGGAGGGGAAGAAGAGAAAGAGAGAAAGGAGAACAACAAATATCAAACTGAGGGGAAACAACAACACAGATTCATGTATAAACCACTTTAAAACACGCAGACCTGCGTTACAGAGAAATAAAGGAATAAATCACTAATAAAAAAACAATAAATAAAAAAGAACTAAAGAGAAAGAAAAAGGAGGAGGATCTAGTGAGTAAATGTTCGAGTAGTCTCATATGACGATCACATGTTACCTGTAGTCTCATATGACGATCACATGTTACCTGTAGTCTCATATGACGATCACATGTTACCTGTAGTCCCATATGACGATCACATGTTACCTGTAGTCTCATATGACGATCACATGTTACCTGTAGTTCCATATGACGATCACATGTTACCTGTAGTCCCATATGACGATCACATGTTACCTGCAGTCTCATATGACGATCACATGTTACCTGTAGTCTCATATGACGATCACATGTTACCTGTAGTCTCATATGACGATCACATGTTACCTGTAGTCCCATATGACGATCACATGTTACCTGTAGTCTCATATGACGATCACATGTTACCTGTAGTTCCATATGACGATCACATGTTACCTGTAGTCTCATATGCCGATCAAATGTTACCTGTAGTCTAAAATGACGATCACATGTTACCTGTAGTTCCATAAGACAATCACATGTTACCAGTAGTCTCATATGACGATCACATGTTACCTGTAGTTCCATATAACGATCACATGTTACCTGTAGTTCCGTATGACGATCAAATGTTACCTGTAGTTCCGTATGACGATCACATGTTACCTGTAGTTCCGTATGACGATCACATGTTACCTGTAGTCTAAAATGACGATCACATGTTACCTGTAGTTCCATATGACGATCACATGTTACCTGTAGTCTAATATGACGATCACATGTTACCTGTAGTCTCATATGACGATCACATGTTACCTGTAGTTCCATATGACGATCACATGTTACCTGTTGTCTAATATGACGATCAAATGTTACCTGTAGTTCCATATGACGATCACATGTTACCTGTAGTTCCATATGACGATCACATGTTACCTGTAGTTTCATATGACGATCACATGTTACCAGTAGTCTCATATGACGATCACATGTTACCAGTAGTCTCATATGACAATCACATGTTACCTGTAGTTCCATATGACGATCACATGTTACCTGTAGTCTAATATGACGATCAAATGTTACCTGTAGTTCCATATGACGATCACATGTTACCTGTAGTTCCATATGACGATCACATGTTACCTGTAGTTTCATATGACGATCACATGTTACCAGTAGTCTCATATGACGATCACATGTTACCTGTAGTCTCATATGACAATCAAATGTTACCTGTAGTTCCGTATGACGATTACATGTTACCTGTAGTTCCGTATGACGATCACATGAATGTTACCTGTAATTTCATATGACGATCACATGTTACCTGTAGTCTCAATTGACGATCAAATGTTACCTGTAGTCTCATATGACGATCACATGTTACCAGTAGTCTCATATGAAGATCACATGTTACCTGTAGAATCATATGACGATCACATGTTACCTGTACTCTCATATGACAATCACAAGTTACCTGTAGTTCCATATGACGATCACATGTTACATGTAGTTCCATATGACGATCACATGTTACCTGTCGTCTAATATGACGATCACATGTTACGTCTAGTCTCAAATGACGATAACATGTTACGTCTAGTCTCATATGACGATCACGTTACCCGTAGTATCATATGACGATCACATGTTACCTGCAGTCTCATATGACGATCATATGTTACCTGTAGCCTCATACGACGATCACATGTTACCTGCAGTCTCATATGACGATCAAATGTTACCAGTAGTCTCATATGACGATCACATGTTACATATAGTCTCATATGACGATCACATGTTACCTGTAGTCTCATATGACGATCACATGTTACCTGTAGTCTCATATGACGATCACATGTTACCTGTAGCCTCATATGACGATCAAATGTTACCTGTAGTTCCATATGACGATCACATGTTACCTGTAGTCCCATATGACGATCACATGTTACCTGTAGTCCCATATGACGATCACATGTTACCCGTAGTTTCATATGATGATCAAATGTTACCCGTAGTCTCATATGATGATCACGTTACCCGTAGTATCATATGACGATCACATGTTACCTGTAGTCTCATATGACGATCACATGTTACCTGTAGTCTCATATGACGATCACATGTTACCCGTAGTCTCATATGACGATCACATGGTACCTGTAGTCTAATATGACGATCACATTTTACTCGTATTCTCATATGACGATCACATGTTACCAGTAGTCTCATATGAAGATCACATGTTACCTGTAGAATCATATGACGATCACATGTTACCTGTACTCTCATATGACAATCACAAGTTACCTGTAGTTCCATATGACGATCACATGCTACATGTAGTTCCATATGACAATCACATGTTACCTGTAGTCTAAAATGACAATCACATGTTACCTGTAATTTCATATGACGATCACATGTTACCTGTCGTCTCATATGATGATCACATGTTACGTCTAGTCTCAAATGACGATAGCATGTTACGTCTAGTCTCATATGACGATCACGTTACCCGTAGTATCATATGACGATCACATGTTACCTGCAGTCTCATATGA